ATGAGAAGGGCAAAATCGTCCAAGGGGGGCGGTGACTAGTAATAAGGGGGGCGGTAAATAGTAACGCCCTTCTTTTAATCTATGGTTTCTTTAAGTTTGGGCCGAGCCTAATCCAAAGACAAAATGAATGCAAAATTAAGTTGGGCCCAAATATACCTTAAGCTATGTTGAGATCTAGTTGGGATAATCCATCTTTGGGCTGGGTTTGTGTGTGCTCAATGTGCCTAATACTAGAAAAAATCTTATTTTCACTCTTCTATGCATAGTTTACAATGTTTTTTTGTTTTAGCTGAAATATATTAATTTTTACGGTTTATAAATTATATATTTGTAGTTTATTTTTATCATTGTTGTCTTCTAAATGCAATTGTCTCTTGATATATGACTTCTTTATGAATGACTTATGTATATTTTATTTTAAATGTTGTATTTTTCAAAAAAAAAAAAAAAATTGTACTAAATATGTAAAAGGGTCAATTGGGTTCGATGAGTGGTGGACCAGTAACTTGACAATAAATATGAAATAGTCACTTGGTCAGTGGAAAGGTTCGACCCTAACCTAACTGCCAATATTGATGTTTAAGCCGTTAGATCATATACGTGCATACACATATATATAAATGTGTGTTGATCCAACGATTAAGATATGCTTATGTGGTCGTTGTCCATACAAAATTTGAGTTAGTCGGTGATAAATCAAATTGAAGCACAAGTCAATGTCATCTAAGTATCCCCTATATATTAATTCAAAACGTGTTGAGCTTATGTGGCAGATTCTCACGCTTCGGATGCTGACATGGCGAAAATCTATGCTTTGTGATGTTGTTTTTATATTATTTTTGATCTGGACTTAAGTTTGGTATTAAACATAAATAACTTTACACATATATTTATTAACTCAACAATCATGTTGTACATAGGTATTAGTACTAGTAATAGTTTAAACTTTAAAGTAGGGAAAAAAGAAGAGCTCGACGATTAAATGCCATGAAAAATACAAATCAAAATTTTAGACAAAACAGCTGTCTTAATTGCTTATAGAAAATAGATGTTTGGCTATTATCTCTTTACTTGTCAATTGTCATCAAGGTTCTTATGATTATGTGATCGAAAAATAATGTTATCCACGATATTCATCACGGTTTTATCTTTTTTTAATATGTTTTCTTGCAATCTTAATATTGACAACGAAGCGCAGTTTCAATGGTAAGACGTTTCACCTATGACCAATATGTCATGAGTTTGAGTAACTGAGTAGGGAAATTGGAAATGCTATTTATCCTCCTTAAGAAGAAACAGAAAAAGAAAAAAAAAATGTAAAATTAGTATACAAACCTTATGGTGCATATGTATTTGATAATAAAATATATTATATTTATTTCAAAATAAGAGTTATTTTAAATTTTTATTCAGAAATTTGATTTGAGTACAATGTGATTCCATAAAATAATTATTTTGATAAATTTTATTATATATTTAAAAATTTATATTTATATGAGTAATAAGTATAATTCACATTAGCTAACAAAATTGAATCTTTTGCCATAAAATATAACCACAAATTTTTAATTACCCTGGGAGATACGGATGAAATCTGGCAAAATGCAACTGGGCGACATGAAATCACACAAGTAGCAATAAAAATTGAATCTTTTGCAATATGTCATAACTAATCCCACAAATTAAGGGAAGCATAATGCTTTTCCATTTTGCTGAATAAAAAAATTATAAAATTTACCCAAATTGGTAAGTATTTAATGCTAACAGGATTTGACATGCATTTGACTTGTCATTTTAGAAAAAATATTATTCTTTATATATATATATATATATATTATTAAATTATATTGATAATATTGAAAATAGTGGAGTTGAGTTAAATTCGAGTTTTGATTGATTTTTTTACCGTGCAATCCATAAACAATCGCTTCCATAATTATTGGTTTCCTTTTTTTTCACAATTTTTTGTGCAGGCCAACCCAAGACCCAAATCGTTACTCCATTAAGCAAGTTGGCTTTTTTTTTT